TCCGCAAGTACCAAAAATAAAAGTATCGGTATCGGGCGAGTACTGGAAAAAGTGGTATCGGTGCATCCCTAATGGAATATATAATATATGAACACTAATATTAACATCATCATTATTATTAATAAAAATACGAATTATTATACATATTATTATAGCTAAATAAAATAAAAGATAAAACATATGAACACAGCACAAAACAAGGAAATAAACAAATATGATCAATAAGGTTTATTTATTAAATATTCAAACCAATGAAAAAACATTGTCATTATTATTATCAACAACAACAATAATTATTATTATTATAAATAAAATAAAAGGTAATTCCAAGGAAAACAGTACACAACTAGAATATAATTAAATAATATTATTAATGTTTATTTGCATAATTAGTAAAAAATTAACATTACAAATTATGCGTATTATCATAAATAACAATAAAAGCTAAAACAAAGGAAAACATGAAATGAAAAATGAAATAAATATTATTAATAATGTTTTTTTATTTGTCAAATACACAAATGAAACAAAACGAAAACAGCACGAAACATAATAGAATTAAATGAATATATATTAGTAATTTTACAAACAAAAAAACATAAATAACAACAAATATTATTATTATCATTCTTATATTAAATAATGATCAATCAAAAATAAAATACAAGCATATGAAGATAAATATACAAATATCAGAAGCCTGTCTCAGTGTTAGGATTAAACAAGATAAAAAGGACACTTGTTAATAAATGTTAAAATGGCTTGCCACACAAAACCAAGCAGAGGAAGCAATGCTTCAAACAATTGTGTCAACAGATAAACACTCTAGTGTACTCAATTTGGCACCCATCACAATGTGGGATGGATAAAGATATTAAGACACAAAGATAGATTAAAATTACAGTAGATTTTATTTTTGTAGATAGTTAATCAATAACTTGGCCGAAATCAAGAAGAAGTATCTTGTAAAAACACAAGTTTTACCAAATTTTGATTTGAATCTAATATTTCAGTAATAATACTTTCGACTGCTTAATGAGTAACTGACGTTTGGGTCATTTGGTTATAGTTCTTTAATCTGGACAACAGTAACTGGTGTTTAGGACAAAAACAACATCATGTGATCTCCTGATATGGCGGTTCTGCTTTTGTGAAGCATGTCTGCCTTATTTGTATGGTAAATACAGAGGATGTCACTTGTATGATTCATTTACATGAGCGATGTGTGGAGATGATCACGGAGCAAAAAACGACACAGTAAGTAGACATACTCGAAGGGCAGGTTTTTGCAGGATCCTAGCTGTGCCAATTTGAGAGCAAACACGCAACAAACATCATACAGAAACAGAGCTGTGTTGTATTATACTTCTCAACTCTCTTCTAAATGCTGTTTTTTCATCTCTATTGTCCAGCAGTGAGATATTTTCAGGTCTTCCTGTCTTTCTAAGGTAGCAGCCCCCCTGAGGCTCGGCTGGCAGCTGTAGACAGCTGTGGACTAAATGCATATGACACATAAAACATCTCCTGATTAATCTGCAGTTGACCTGTTGTATGAAGAAATTATTTTTGACTGCTACTGTCATCATCCAGACGTCTCATACAGCACATTGTGGACACACTGCATGGCACAATCTTATGCTTGTCACGAGTCACGTGGAGCTCTGAATAATGGTTTTACTGTACTGGTGACAGTACACTGGACTATCTGTCCATGCTTTGATGATGAAGGGCAAAATTTGAATTTTTGTTCATGAATAAAACAAGAGAAGTGTTCAGGCAGGGAAATATTGCCCTTTTGTGAGTTAAACAATTGGAGACCACTAATGAGCTTTTCAAATGTAATACAAAATCAAAATATATATGATCAAAATAACAATTTGAGTGAAAAGTTAAAGAATGAGAATTTGTTCAGTATTTAAGTTTAGGGTTGTTGTTTTTCTCTCTCACACATTTATTCAGCAGGGAAGCATTAAACTGACCCAAAGTGACAGACATTTAAAATATTACAAAATATTTAGATAAAAAAAAAACGCTGTTCTTTTGAACTTTATATTCTTTAAAGAATTCTGAAAATAATGTATAACAGTGTCCTCAAAAATATTAAGCAGCACAACCATTTTCAACATTGATAATAAGAAGAAATGTGTGTTGAGCAGCAAATCAGCATATTAGAATGATTTCTGAAGGATCATGTGACACTGAAGACTGGAGTAATGATGATGAAAATTCAGCTTTGCATCACAGGAATAAATTAAGTTTCATAATGTATTTAAATAGCTAACTGTTATTTTAAATTGTAATAATATTTTACAATATTTCTGTTTTTACTGTATTTTTGATCAAATAAATGCAGCATTGGTGAGCATAAGAGACTTCTTTCAGAAAATTCAAATCTTACCAACCCCATATATATATATCCTTTGTTTATAATATTGTTTTTCATCACGTAATTGTTAATGGTTGAAATCCACTGATTGCAATTGCAAAAACCCTTCTTAGTTTGGCCTGCAGGCCCAGGAACCAGATCCTGTTCGGTTTGTGGTCTTTCTAAGGAACAAATCTGTAAAACTCAACTGCCAACAAGGTAAGTTACTCAGAAAGTCAACAGCATACCATCATATGACAGCAAATCCCACTGGTTAAACAGTGATATCATTATTGGCATGACTACTTCGTGGTAGCGTTAATCAGTATTAATTTATTTATAGCTGCATCTGGGTAAACGAAGGTTAACAACCATCATTTACTACACTTTTATCACTTCATCAAGAAATGCATGCATTATATGTTAATAAGAGCAGCAATAACCGCATCACCTCTTGAGAACCGACAAAGCCGGTTTGTCCAGATACGCATGCCTATTTCACATTATAAAGCTTCCAACTGTGTCAACAGGAAAACTGATACATCACCAGAGAGTTTTCATTACATTCCACAGAAGTCTGCAGTCAACTATATTGGCTTAAACATACAATTTGATCATCAAGCATTACTATTACAGCTCATTTGTAGGGTTAGGTTTGTTTTAAACCCTAGCAACCACCTAGAACATCTTAGCAACCACATAGCAATACCCTAACAACCACCCAGAACATCTTAGCAACCACATAGCAACACCCTAACAACCACCCAGAACATCGTTACTGTAGATACATTGTGGTGGACTGTACAGTTAATTGAGTAATTCACCATCTTAAATATATAACTGTTGTAATTACAGTGGATATCTGTAAACACCGGTGCATCCGAAATCGCAGGCTGTCTGAATAGGCAGTTTGAATTTGAACGTACTTCGTGACTGTTAAAAAAACTATATTGTATATAGTATGAAAATGGATTATATGAATGAAATTCAGACAGACTACATCTGCCATGTTGTTACTGATTCTCAGTCGTTTAGTATGTGATGCTACGTTTTACAAAGTCGGTAAGTGTATCATTCTGTTCAGATTTTAAGTCATGTAGTGTATTCTTTCATTCACCCTTTTCACAGAATTTTGTACGCACTCACCAAACTTGAGAAAGGAATCGAAGCCATTTGTCATATTAGAAGTCAATCTGAATCAGAGTGATTTTGAAACAGATATTTTAAGGTAAAAAAAAAGTTATATAAAGTCATTTTAATTAGCCTAATGGTGAAGACAGTGGAACAATTTTAAATAAAAATAAGAAAATAAATTAGTTATTAAAAAATAATTTTTCATCTTACTTGGTTCACCTTCTATATATATTTACATTATAAACATAATTTTTTTAAACAAATATTGGTTAGGCCTATATAACACATTTACACTACCAGTCAAAAGTTTGGGATCAGAACGATTTTTTATGTTTTTTACAGGAGTTTCTTATGCTCATCAAGGCTGCATTTATTTGATCAAAAATACAGGAAAAAATGTAATATTGTGAAATATTATTATGATGTAAAATAACGTTTTTCAATAACGCATTTATTCCTGTGATGCAAAGCTGAATTTTTTAGCATCATTACTCCAGTCTTCAGTGTCACATGATCCTTCAGAAATCATTCTAATATGCTGATTTATTATCAGTGCTGGAAACTGCTTAATATTTTTTTGGAACCTGTGATACTTTTTTCAGGATTCTTTGTAAATAAAAAAATTAAAAGTTAAAAATGTATTTAAAATAGAAATCTTTTCTAACAATATTCACTACAGTTCAAAAGTTTGGGGTCAGTAAATTTGTATTCTTTTTTTTTTTTTAAAGAAATTAAAACTTATTCAGCAAGGATGTGTTAAATTGTTAAGAAGTGATAACAAAGATTTGTATTGTTAGAAAAGATTTATATTTTGAATAAATGCTGTTTTGTTTTACTTTTTATTCATCAAAGAATCCTGAAAAAAGTATCGTTTTCCAAAAAAAAATATTTGGCAGCACAACTGTTGCCAACATTGATAATTCTAATAATAAATCAGCATATTAGAATGA